GAATTCACATTTTCTTCAAATTTGACAAAACATTGTCTGTTTCCCATCATGTGGTTACTGCATCCGCTATCCATGTACCATATACTTGTGGTTCTTGACGAGCGCTGAGACATGTATAAAATAGTTGCTCTGGAGAGTCATTATTTTATGTGAAATTGGCTTCATTATTTTTCTGATATCTGCAATATCTTTGAGAATGGTTGGGTATTCTGCATCAGGTACACCTACACCGACAATCTACACTTTTGTGCCTAGTTTTTTTACAAAGATGACATTCAGGGACAAGGTTACCATTCTGGTTGTTTTGATGGCTGCGTCCTTGCTGATTGTTGTTGTTATAGTTGTCTTTGTTGTAATTCTTCCGCCAATGAGATTCTCCTTTACTTTTTCTGTTTTGAGACTTATGAGATTCTCCTTTTTGTTTTTCTTCTTTCTCCTTCGAATCCAATTTGGATTGAAAGGCTTGCTTCAAGGATTGGTCTGTAGACCTATTAATCCTTTTTTCATGTGCTTCCAAAGAACCAATTAGTTCATGGAGCGAAAGTGCAGCGATATCTTTTGAATCCTCTATTGCTGCAACAACATGATCGTTAGAAGATTGCGTAGAGTTTTTGGTGGAAGATTGCGTAGAGTTTTCTCTACAATTTTCTTGTTTGGAATTGTATCCCCATAACTTCTAATTTGGTTAACAATTCCAAAAACTTTTGTGAAGAAAACCTGAATGAACTCATTCTCCTTCATTAATAAATTATCAAACTCTCGCCACAGGATTGGAGTTTGATGGAGATCACTTTCTGTGAACCTTGGAACTCAATTTTGAGTATTTCCCAAGCATTTTTTGATGTAGTTGCAGAAAGTAATCTTGGAAAGAGATTTTTGCTTACTCCCTATTGAATTAGGAATAAAGCATTGGCATTAAATGCTTGCTTTGATTCCGGTGTCGCTTTTCCTGTCGAAGTTTTTTCCGGTTCCTCGTAACCATCTTCTACAAGATCCCAAATATCTTGAGAGATGAACAAGGTCTTCATTTGTAGGCTCTAATATTCATAATTCTCTCCATCGAAAATAGGCATTAAATTTTGAATATTTCCAATGGTTGAGGAATTTGAACTTGATGCCATGATTAACACAGCGGGGATCGATTGGCTCTGATATACCAAATTTGTTGGAGAAAGATGGATATGAGAGAATATGGAAGAGAGTTTTTAAAAAGAAAACTGAAGCTTTATTGATTTCCCAAAATTAATTACAAAACTAGGCCATCTTATTGTCTATTTATAATAACATTCAGACTCTTTCATAACAGACATAACTCTGTTATCCATAATTTATGAGATGAGCACAGTATATATTTGTTACCTGGCATTCTTATACTTTAATGTTACATATATGGTTAAATGAAGTACAGATACGAATCATGTTCTTCGACTCCTAAAAAATATTAAATTGCACGAATGGTTAACCATGAATGGTAACTGTTCATTCATTTGGAGGTGAAAATGGTCATAATCCTGAAAATGAAAAATTGTAATTTGTGTCACAGGGCACCTGAGGAAACCATATTTGGCCGTGGGACTCTCCATCAAGAACTTAAACAGCGAACTCCGTTTTCCTTTGGCCATTAAAGTGAGTTCTGGTGCTACAGCCGGGCATTTTCCTCTCTGCAGAAATGGGGGGAAGTCGTTTGACTAGGTATTCTTATTGATTTATTTACTCTGTATAACTTCACTATCTTCTACGCACTATGTTTTCTTTATTGCCAAGATTTCACGGATTCTTTTGCGAAGTTTAAATTTGTTATGCTGTGCGGAGATGATTCTTCACCTTTTTACTTAAAAGACCATATGATTTTATGAAAATTCTATGGTATTGGACTTTACTGCTTTTTTCCTTTTCCGTTTGAGGATGAAATCCAATTGCGTGCTTACTTTTATGTTAAATATAAGCATCGTTGTGTGGTAATCCAGGATTCGTCAGGGCTCACAAACCAATGGTCGGAGGGCCCCCACATTTGTTCTTTAGTTTGGTCTCTAAGTCTTTCTGAAAACTACTTCCTCAACAAGATAACATGAAAGCTTTGAGACAATGAGACCGACTTTTCTACAGAATGCCAGCAAAGGCATGACATCACTTTCTTGGCTGGGCCAAGGAAAGTCACAAGAATTGAGCGGTCTATATGTAGAACCATGTCCACATACTCATAGGCTCATCATATTTTTATACGGACATATTGTGTACCACATACTAATATAATAGGCCCATCTTTATTAGAGAGATAATGCACAATATGGTATAAAAATATGGTATTTTTCATATATAAAAGCTTATCGTCGTAATCCATCTTCACAAGTCACAATTGTAAGCTTGAACTAGAACCATCTCTCTAATTTCTTTCTGAGTTGCTTCGTGTTGTCTCCAAAATGAAGAAAGCTGCAGAGCTAGTTCTCATTCCTGCCCTAGGTGTTGGCCATCTCATGTCTGCAGTCGAGATTGCGAAGCTTTTGGTTGCCCGAGACGACCAACTTTTCATCACAGTGCTCATCATGAAGCTACCTTTTGACTCCATGCCCAAGGGTACTGTTGATGCCTACACAGACTCCATGTCACAACGTATCAAGTTCGTCGATCTCCCGGAGGAAGCCATAGAGACTCGGGGCATCAACCCTAACCTCTTCATCAAGTTTTTCATTGAGAATCATAAGGCCCACGTTAAAGATGCTATCAACAAACTCACTGAGTCAGATCAGTCCGATTCCAAGCCTAGGCTTGCTGGGTTTGTCATCGACATGTTCTGCACCTCTATGATAGACGTGGCCAATGAATTTGGGGTCCCTACGTACATCTTCTTCACGTCCAGCGTAGGGTTTCTTGGGCTCATGTTTCACCTCCAAACCGTTCATGATGAGCAAAACAAGGACTGCACTAAGTTCAAGGACTCGGACGCTGAGTTGGTTGTGCCGAGTTTTGTCAACCCATTGCCTACTGGATCAGTCCTACCTGGTATGTTTCTGGACCAGCATGGCGCCGCTGAATTCATCAACCATGCCAGAAGGTTTAGAGAAACCAAGGGTATTTTGGTAAACACCTTCATGGAGCTAGAATCGCATGCCCTTCACTCTATTTCTGACGATGGCAAAACTCCACCACTGTACCCAGTGGGACCCACACTGAACTTGAAGAGTGACGATAACCATGAAGGTTCGGAAATCTTGAAGTGGCTTGATGATCAGCCTCCGTCGTGTGTAGTGTTCCTCTGCTTTGGGAGCATGGGAAGCTTTGGGGAGGACCAGGTGAAAGAGATAGCGTGCGCGCTGGAACACAGTGGGCTTCGGTTTTTGTGGTCCCTACGCCAGGCCCCACCAAAGGGGATGATTGCGTTACCAAGTGATTATGCAGATCACAAGGGAGTTTTGCCGGAAGGGTTCCTCAATCGGACGGTTGGGATTGGCAAGGTTATAGGATGGGCTCCACAAGTGGCCATCTTAGCTCACCGGGCAATCGGAGGGTTCGTATCCCATTGCGGGTGGAATTCAACGCTGGAGAGTCTGTGGCATGGTGTGCCGGTTGCCACATGGCCAATGTACGCGGAGCAACAACTAAATGCCTTTCAACTTGTGAGGGATTTGGGTTTGGCAGTGGAAATTAAGATGAGTTATAGGAGGGACGATCAAGTGGTGGTGAATGCAGAGGAGATAGAGAGAGGAATAAAAGAGGTGATGGAGCATGATAGTGATCAAAGAAAGAGGGTGAAGGAGATGAGTGAGAAGTGCAAGAAAGCCTTGATGGACGGTGGATCCTCACACTCTGCATTGGGTCGTTTTATAGATCAGCTTTTCCCTTGACTCATTCGGAAGTCCAATTGGTAATTACTTGTTAATCTGAGTTCATGAGTATTTTTGTATTAACTTGAAAGCAATGGAAGAGATGACGTTTTAGTCCACAGTGCTCGAGTTATTTATCATTTTCATCTTTATAGTTTTTGTTAGTTGCTGATTTATTAGTTGTCTTCTTTACTATTTATTCTTCAGTCAACTTTCTAGCTACTTAAAGACAAGAAATTATAGCTAACGAACGGGTCTAACTCGGTAAAAAAATAATTTTGACTCGTAAACTAATGTTCTTAGTTAATATGATATGGTGGTAGTGTTTATGTACCACCATATACTAAAAAACAAAAAATTATCGGCTAAGATTCTTGGTTGGTCCTTCTTTTTATCATTTATCATTTTGCCTTTTTCCATTTAGACAGGAAGGCTTTCTACGATGCCGTTTTGTCTTGTTGTTTCCATAAAGCTCACAGCATCTTTCTTTCAGCTGCAATATGCCAAAACAATGGTCCTGTTTATAATGCAATATTCTAGTTTACTATGACTTGTCGGGGCCCACAAATCAATTTGCTCTTTGGCTGGGCTTCTTAGTAATTTTAGGCTTCGTTTGATGTGTGTGTATATATATATATGTTACTTTTTTTATTGTGAAAATTTTTAAATAATTTTATTTAAGGGATACTTTTTGAGGTCATTTACGAATTTTTTTTCAACAATCCAAACCATCTATTTAGGCTCAAAATTTCAAGTTTTCATATTTCAATTTGGGCTAACAAAACTACAGTGATGATGGGCTAATTCGAGCTAATTGAAGACAGTCTCAGGATTTAATCCAGTCCATAACAGTTTACCGTATCAAACAACCCTTAGAGGTCAATTTTTAATCCCTATATTTTGAGTTTTTTTTTTTCCATTTTTGTGTTATGTAGGTGTATCTTTGGCACTTTTAGAATATTGTAATTGTAGTTTGCTACCTTTCTTAACCGCGGTCTGATTTGCTAAACCCAATTGATTTCCAAGACTGAAACTTGCGGTGGATTTCTCCTGTGCGATAATCATATGTTGGCACGTCAGATTTTCATCATGAAAATTAACAACATCAATTATTTGGATAGAGATTAAACACTCGGCAAACCACGTCATAATCGTGAGAGCCAAAATTGTGAACATATAAATTATAAGAAGGAAAGTTGTCGGTGTAAAAATTGTACTGTAAACAAAAGCAGCACATCACTTGCATCGTTGGGCAATGTTTTAAATTCCTCTACGTAACTATATGATTAATTGCTTAATTTATTGCCAGGCGGCAATCTGTTCTTTTACCAATGAGCTTGGGGGAGAAAGCTTCTGACCAATGCCAGCAAAGGCATGACGTCATCACTGTATCTTGACCTAAGCAAAGATTATTAATTCCGACATTCAATTGTGGCAATATATATTAAGGGCATCGACATGAACTTTTCATTTCCATCAGAATATCTAAAACACCTCCCTTTGTTTCTTCCCCAAATGGAAAAAGCTTCAGAGCTAGTCTTCATCCCTTCCGCCGGCATGGGCCACCTCGTCTCCGCCGTCGAGATGGCAAGGCTCCTCGTTGCTCGACACGACCGACTTTTCATCACCGTCTTCATCATGAAGCTACCCTTCGACTCCAAAGGCACCGAGTCCTACATAGCCTCCCTCGAGGCCTCTCCCGTGTCGCCACGTGTCAACTTCATCACCCTCCCAAAAGTTCCTACCATAGACAAGCACATGAGCCCCAACTCCTTCCGCAACCAGTTCATCGAAAGTCACAAAACCCACGTCAAAAACGCGGTCGCCGAACTCACCGAGTCTGAGTCCGATTCAAGGCCTCGGCTCGCTGGGTTCATCATCGACATGTTTTGTACAACAATGATCGACGTGGCGGATGAATTTGGGGTTCCTACTTACATGTTCTTCACTTCACCAGCTGCGTTTCTGGGGTTGTTGTTTAGCCTACAGAGAATTCGTGACGTGTATAACAAGGACGTGAGTGACTTCAAGGACTCGGACGCTGAGTTGGCCCTGCCCACTTTTGTCAACTCGGTTCCCGCCAAAGTCTTGCCCAGTGTGCTTCTGGACAAGGACGGCGCGGAGGCGCTCCTCGGCTATGCCAAACGGTTTAGAGAAACCAAGGGTATTTTGGTAAATACATTCATGGAGCTGGAATCGCACGCTCTTGATTCTCTTTCTAATGGTGAAACCCCACCTTTGTATCCAGTGGGCCCCATCTTGAACCTAAAGAGTGATGATAGCCAATCGGGTTCAGAGCAGGCGCAACAGAAGTCTGATGTATTGGAGTGGCTAGATGATCAGCCTCCTTCGTCTGTGGTGTTCCTGTGCTTTGGGAGCATGGGAAGCTTTGGTGAGGACCAGGTGAGAGAGATAGCGTGGGGGCTTGAGCGGAGTGGGCTCCGGTTCTTGTGGTCTCTACGCCAGCCGCCGCCGAAGGAGACCGTTGCGTCCCCTAGTGACTATTCGGATCCCAAGGCGGTCTTGCCCGAAGGGTTCCTCGATCGGGCGGTTGGAATAGGAAAGGTCATAGGGTGGGCCCCGCAGGTGGCGATCTTGGCCCACCCTGCAATTGGCGGGTTTGTATCTCACTGCGGGTGGAATTCCACGCTTGAGAGTCTATGGTTTGGGGTGCCGGTTGCCACGTGGCCAATGTACGCTGAGCAACAATTAAATGCCTTTGAATTGGTAAGGGAGTTGGGATTGGCTGTGGAAATCAACATGGAGTATAGGAGGAGCTTTTATGGGGATAGTCCGAAGGTTGTGAAGGCAGAAGAGATAGAGAGAGGAATAAGGGAGGTGATGGTGCAGGATAGTGATTTAAGGAAGAGGGTGAAAGAGACGAGTGAGAAGAGCAAGGCGGCTTTGATGGATGGTGGGTCCTCACACTCTTCATTGGGACATTTTCTTGATCAGATTTTTCTTTGATATATAAATAAAATATATATTCGGTGGTTCTGATTTTGGGTATACCGCATGCTTTCAGTGGCTGGTAAGCGGTATGCGGGGGTTCTAAGAAGTTTCATATTAAGAAAAACGAAGGGTGTCTGTATCTCATTACTCACGTCACGTCACGTGATCTAAGACTTTCTCATTTGTGTCTTGTTTGCCATTGACAGATTCTTCGTCAACTTTCTTTCTAGTTATTTAAAGACAATAAAACATGATAGTCCTGACCGATTGGTACCAACACCTTACTATTACAACAATGAAAATAGTGATCAATTAGTCCCTATATTTTAAGTTATTTTTCGTTATCGTTTATGTAGGTTTATCTCTGCCAATTTTAGTATACCAGCTTTCTTAAGAGCATTTCCACCAGTTAGCCTCTTGCCATGACAAGGGGAGCCCTAGGGCAGCTACTATTCACGTGAATAATGGCTGCCCTAACCCCCCAGCAAAGTGTGTTTCCAGCAGTTTAGGCTTGCCATGGCAAATACTATTCATTTTTTTGTTTTTTTCACAACTTTGTTTATTTAAACAATTAATTTGGATAATATTTTCGGATAAGATTTTTGGGTTCCTACGTGTCAATACTATTCATATCGGATAAGATTTTCGGTTTCAAATTTCAGATAAATTTCAGATAAATTTCAAATTTAAGATACATTTCAAAATTCAAATTTGAAATAAATTCAAAATTTGAATTTCAGATACATTTCGAAATTCAAATTCCAGATAAATTACCAATTCCAAATTTCATTTGAATTTCAAATTTCAGATAAGATTTTCATCCTCTAAAATTGCGCCACGTGTCATCTCTATCTGTCTAAATTTTTCTATAAAACCAGAGGCTCAGCTCATACCTCCCACACCATATCTTCTCTGCATCTTCATTTCTCATATTTTAGATTTCATTTCTCAGATTTTAGATTTCATTCTCCATTCTCAATGTCAGACATGGAAGATGTTTTGGATAGGCAAGAGCGAGAAAGGCGAGCAAGAATGCGCAGAAGAGCTGCAAGCAAAAGGGCGCAGAGAGAACTAGATGAGCAACTTGGTGTGGCCGTTGCTTTGATGGAGGAAGAAAACCAGAGCCGTCGTGGTTCACGAGAAGGCCGGGCATCGAATGTGGACAGACATAGACATTCTCGGGGTAAGAATCTTCTGGAAGATTATTTTATCCCACAATCTCTGTACTCTGATGTTCATTTTCGAGCAAGATATAGAATGCAACCCCATTTGTTCAATAAAGTCATGCATGATATTTGCAATTATGATGACTACTTTGTTCAAAAGAAAAATTGTGCTGGAGATTTGGGGCTGCTTCCCGAGCAAAAGTTCACAGCTGTGATACGAATGTTGGCGTATGGGTCATCTGCTGATCAGGTGGATGAGATTGCCCGAATGAGGAAGTCCACTATTTTGGAGAGCTTGGTGCGATTTTGTGATGCAGTGGAAAAT